GTCTTTCTAGAAAGGAGGCCATTAGCCCTCCTGCTGCATAAACCCTTTTGGTCTTTAAGCAGCCTCCAGAACTGTTTGCAACGTGCTACATCTTGAGGCTGCAATTGACCCCCTCTCCACTATCACACACTCAGCATATTTTGAAGTCATCTTAATTATCAACTGCCTACAGCCATGAGTTTTAAAGTCCATATTTTGAATAATGACTATGCAAAAACAATGAGCTGTGTGTGTGTCTGTGTGTGTGTGTGTGTTTGGCAGGGAGAAGAGAATAAATAACCTTAAAAATTACACAATGGTTTCTGACCTTGTTTCTCTCATGCCTGGAATAATACAAATTTAGAGATATTGCCTTTTGTGGGAAAAGATCCTAGGAAAAGTGAAAAGGAAAGCAGATATTTTTTTCTAGAAAACTATAAAAACAGTTATTCCAAAAGACCTGGTTGAGGTTTTTTGATTAATGAGTAACAAAAAGATGCTGACAAAAGAAAAAGAAAACATTGATGAGTGAAATCAAAAGCTCACAGCAGTTAAGGCAGAGTCAAGTTCACCGATGTGTTTTTAGGACTTACTGTTTCTTCTTGTGTAACTATGGAGAAATTTCACTGTTTATACAGAGACATGGAAACATATCTGCTGACTTAACAAAACACGGGTTTTCATTCCTCACCCTTCTCTCCCTACCAACCATGGTAGATAGTCTGACATTTGGGCTCACAGGCTTTGGTGTTGAGTCAGAGGTTCAAATTCAGCTATTCATTGTTGTCTGACTTAGGACAACCTTCCTATCCTAAGTCCCAGTTTCTGCATGTATATGATAGGGATAATAGTCTGCCAATCTGTATCAAAGGGCAGTTGTGAGTTGCAATGAAATAATGCAGGTAACCAGCACAGTACAGCTCCTGGCACACAAAAAGTGCTCAGTGACTGTTGTTGTAGATGGGATGGCAGTTTATTGCTGTTGATTTACCTAAATAAAAACTCACACTTAAGAACACCTGCTACAGAATAAAGCTAAAGCTCTCAGGGTATGGGCACTAAATCCTCAAACTCTAAAGGAATGACAACATCATGTGAAATTCTTGTACAAGACAGCTTGGGCAAAGGAATGCAACAAAACCTGAAAAACTGCAGATGGCAGAAATACGCTCTTTGAAAAGACATACTCAAGTGTTTGTGAAATGGGGATGGCATATTAAGATCACGGCTCCTTGAACTGGCTTAAGGTCTAACCTGGTGATTCCAGAAATTCAAATGGCCTGTCCTGAACCTGATTTTGCTCAAGTGTCCTCAGAGGACCTCTTGAGTATGTATTAATTTCTACTATTCTGCCTGAGGGTAGGGATGGGGAAAGAAGAGAGTATCTGGAAAGGAATGTTAGGAAGAACCCTATAATAGGACTGCAGTAGGAGAAAGCCTCTCAAGAAGCATGCAGAGGTGTTCATTATTCACACTTCCTCTCACCCTCCTCTCCCCCCATCTCCCCCCAGATGGCATGGACCAGGGCACTGGGCGTCCCTCAAACTTGACCAGAAATTATCTCACTCAAATATAACATAATGAAACTGCACCCTTTTATCACTACTTATTTTTATAGTTGGTACTAGAATTCATCTTGCACAAGATCTCTCTTTGTTGGGAGAACACCTGAGTCAGACTATTTGGGGAAGGGGAATACCTGTTGGGTCACAGATGTTGGCTGGTACCATTGCTTCTGCAAAATCACCCCGAGTGGGATGAGATGCGTATGACACGCCTAAAGTAGAAGAGGAAGAGTCAGGAGAGAGAGAGAAGAAAAGTCAGTGAAATGATGGGTGACTACGTAGTGGTGGAGGAGATAACTCCTCAAATTCTCACCCAAATCTCTAAACCCATGAAGGCTTAGGAGTGGGTTGCAAGTATGTGTGGTTTTGTGTCTGAATTGGTAAGTCACAAAACAGAGAATATACATGCAGAAGTAGGAGCTAGAGAGAAATGCAATCAAACAAACATCTACTAAAGCTCAAAATATCATAAGCAGATATGGAGAGGTGAAAATAAAACCTAGGGAAGATGCAAAGGTAAGAAAGTGGCCTGCCAAGCACAGGAAAGTGCCTGTGCTCTTGCACGTAGGCAACCATGCACACCATCACTCGCCATCACTATTGGTCGAACGTCTACTACGTGCCAGGCACTACACTAGGCTGTGGAACACCACCGTGAGCAAAGCCAGAGTTCTTGTTCTCCTGGGGCTTGCACACTAGTGGGAGAGACAGATTGATCAAGTAAATGCACAAACATTTCTAAAATTGCAGTTGTGAAAAGTGCTAGTGTAATGGGGCACAGCCAGCCCCTCACCAAAGGGGGGATTTGTAAAGGGGTCCAGAACTTGTGGTGTCCAAGAAAAATATAGGATATTCTCCCACTCCCCTGCTCCAAGGCGGGCCGCCATGGGGGATGGGAGACAAGGAGCAGGGTCATTGAAAGATATTTTGCGTATCAGTAACAGGCAAGCTTCTTCCTGACATGGAGCAGGGCTATTGAGAGTCATTTTGCATGTCAATAAAGCAGGATAGCTTCATATGCAAAGATGGTTATTTTGCATATCAACAAGGCTAACCAGTAAGGTTTGCATAACTTTAACCCAGGATGTAACTGGGAAGGAGTTACAGGGCCTGGGGGAGACACCACAGGCTGGGGGAGTAATGCGAAGATCATTCAGAAAGGAAAGGGGGAAAGGACTCTTGCTAGTGGACCAGGAGAAGGTGCCACATGGTTTGGATTAAGAACTGGAGATGCGGCGACACAGCTGATGATGCTGGGAATCGCGAGAGGCCTGACTAGCTGAGCCCTGGACTTCTTTTTCTTCTAAAGGACGGTACCCCTGACTAGCCCGACTGGGAAAAGGAGGGAAAGGCAGGAGTGTGTGTGTTGGTGGGTGCTTTTAAAGGGACTTTGAGATTTAATGGCGGCATTTAGCTATTATTCAAAACCTGTATAACTTTTAAATAAATAGTTCCTTTCCTTTGCACCAAACTCTGCCATTGAAGAGCCATAATTTCCAAGGGCAGTGGACAAAGAAACTAGAACAGAGGGACCCCAAGGAAGGGGGCGGGGCGTTGGTTCGGTAACAGTATCTGGGCCCCCACCCCCCCAATGCGTCCATTATTCAATAACACTATGAAGAAGGCATATACATGGTATTATGAGAGAATATAGGAGATTGGTCCAGGCAGAAAGATCAGATCTTCCCAAGTAAGTGATGCTTGATCTTAGCACTGAGGGATGAGAATACATTAACTGGGTGAAGACAGGAGAGAAAACCAGCCCAGGAAGAATATATGTAAAGGCTTTTGATGGCAGGTTTGAGGACTGAAAGAAGGCAAAGTATGGCTAAGGCAAAGACAGCCTAGGGGGAAACGGCACCTTGAAGTTGGAAGGCGGGGAAGAACCAGGCTCCTCCTGGACTGCAGACCACATGATGGAGTCAGTCTCTATCTCAAGAGCAGTGGGAAGTCACTGAAGAGAGATTGACAGGAACCCCACCCCCAAGCCTCAAAATGGTAAATGAGACCCGTTTACACTTTATCCTCACTTTTCTCAGCACCTCCATTGACTATCACTTTGGCTTAGCCTCAGTAAGTGAGCATGCCGAAAATCAGGGAAAAAAATTTTTTTAAACATTTTTATCGTAGTCATTTCATTTAAATAATCAATATTTTTAAATGAATTTTCCATCACCATACAAGAAAAACCCTCAATTCTGACCCACCATCAAAACACAAATACCCAGTGTATAAATTAATAACTCAGTATTTAATCTTCAGTTACTAAAAAAAATACTGGATAGGAATCAAATAGTCTTAAGATCGAATTCTGACTCTGCCAGTTACTAGTCACATGATCTTGGTAAGTCTCCAAACCTTTGTTAGTCTCAGTTTCCTCATCTATAGAAAGAGATAATAATTTTTGCCCAATGGACCCTACAGAATTAGAGAGCCTTTTGTAATAGGGCAAAACAGCAAATAAAGAGATTATTATTAACCTTTCTCTAAATTGCAGAGGCAAATACACAACATATCCCATTCAGATAATGTTTTCTTTTAACTTATCAAACTGTTCTGCAATGTTGTTACAAAATAATGCTTTATCTTAAAAGTCACTGCCCTCTAGTACATTATAAAACTACTTGTGTACATAAAACAACCCAGAAGGAGTCTTTAAGAAAGAAATTTTTGTTTCATTTTATTTTAGTACAATGAAAGATTCAGTTCAAGATTGCCACCAAAGTTTTATATCTACTTTTAAAAGGAAAAGGATATATGAAATATGCCCAACTCATAAAAAGAGAAGTGCATATTAAAACTTTATGAGATGCTATTTCCTACCCATCACATTGGCAAGATGTAAATTCTTGAAGAAACAGTCTGTTGAACAGATTTTGGGAAAACAAACACTCATTCACTACTGGTGGGAACAAAATGGTACAATTCCTATGGCAGGGAATTATGCCATATCTAGCAAAACTGCATATGCATTTACCCTTTGGCCTACAAATCACAATCCTAGGAATCTACCCTGAAAATGCACCTCTAACAATACAAGCAAACACATGAATGAGGTTATTCATTGCAACATTATTTATAACTGCAAAATACTGGAAACATCCTAAAGGTCCATACATAGGAGTTTGGTTGAATACAGTATGGTACATTTATTTAATAGAGCACTAAGCAGCTGGAAAATTAAAAAATGAAAAACATTTCTATGAAATGACATAATCTGATTTCCAGAATATGTTATTAATTAAAAAAATGGAAGCATGCTACATTTTATATATATTTACATATATTTATTCATTTATTTTTACAAATAAGAAACAGAAAAGATAAGTAAAAGACAAATGAATTTGGTTACCTATGGTGGTTGGAGCAATGGAATAGAAGAGATAGAAAAGGGAACTATGCAAATATAATGTTTTATATAGTTTTGGATTTTGAACCATGTTAGCATTTTACATATTCAAAAAATAAAATTAAGTCAACAAGATAGGGGGGGTGTAGAAAAGACCTGAAAGTGAAAGAAATAAAATTGATTAGAAACACAATTGCAAAGAAAAAAGAATTCATCCAAAGAACATTTGAACTTACAGTATTACAACTATCCACTTCAGTGAGATATATGCTAAGGACAAAAAAATTTTGAACTTGATAAGCTTGTTTTTGGTAGTGATGTGGTGAGGCAATTACAGGATTGGGCAAATGAGTAAATATATTATTGATGTTTTGAGGAAGTAGGGAGTTAACTGTGGAAGAACAAAGACACAAATATGGAACAGTAGAAGAGGAAGAATCCTATGCTATTGAACTGGGTATCAATTAAAGATACCATTATGAACTAATGGTTTTTAAAACATGTTTCCTAGTTCTGTCCACTGAGAGGACCTAAAAGCAATTTCAGCTGAGAAAAATGAGTACACATGGTATCCAGGTCTTGCTCTCCAAATACCATTTCCCAAACCCTTTGGGAAAATGCTTAAGTTCAAGGTGAACCTGGAACATCTTGTGCCGGAAATTAAAGAAGTGCTCAACACTGAGGTAGATAATGTCAAGAAGAGAGAAACAATCTAAGGGGCTGTCACTTGCCAAATTTGGGACAAACTGAGCATCAAAATAATGAGAGGAATGGATTACAACATAGTTAATAAAATAGAATACATGACCATGCTGATATATTTCTTTTAATTTTTAAATTTAGAGAAAGGAAAGTCCTCCTTTAAAGAAGAATGCCAACTAATAAACATATAAGGGATGGTAGAAATAGAAAATCACCACTACACAACTACCATAGTAACATTTGAGTTCAGAAGTGAATCATTATTGAATGCTAAAGCCATTGGGAGAAAGATGGGGCACAGGATATTCACACAGCCCAAAGTATCACCTCACAAGTTATTAATTTCAAAGAGGAATAAAAGAAATCTTTATGATAGAGAAATATGGTAGCAAATACTTTAACCAAAAGATCAACCTTACCTTCATTAAAAAAACATTGTCGGCCCTGGCTGGTGTGGCTCAGTGGTTTGAGTGCCAGCCTGTGAACCAAAAGGTTACTGGTTTGATTCCTAGTCAGGTTGCATGCCTGGTTTGCAGGCCAGGTCCCCAGGGCATGCAAGAGGCAACCAATCAATGTTGCTATCCCTCTGTTTCTCCCTCCCTTCCCCCTCTCTAAAAAATAAAATCTTTTTTAAAATTATCACATTATATGTCTGCTGTTGTGATACACTGAGATGTGTGATACAACATCACCTATGTAGTATTCCTGCCAAAAAAATGTTTAACCTAAGTCTCGCTATGGGGAAACAATCAGACAACTACAAAAGAATGAGCTTGGACTCTTTCAAAATGTCAACATCATGAATGAAAAAAAAAAAATTCACAACCTGTGTTATATTAAAGAACACTAAAAAACATGAAAATAAGTGCAATGTATGAATCTTGTTCAAATCTTGAGTAGAAAAAAAGTGTTAGATTAAAAAGTATACCATTATTGTGACAATTGCAGAAATTTAAATATGGACTGCATGTTAGAAAATAGTACTGTGTCATTATTAAATGTCCAAATGTCCTGTGATAATTGCTTTTGGGTCATATAGGAAAATATTCTCATTTTTGAGAGATACATAATGAGGGTTTGCAACTATCAAATGGTTCAGCTAAAGAATACACACAATGTGTAAAAGGGATTTAAGGAAGAAAATGTGAAAAAACATTATAATTGGTGAATTACGTAAATAGTATATAGATGTTCACTGTATATTTCTTACAAATTTTCTAAAGGTTTTACATGTTTCATACTATAACATGGGAGGAGGGAGAGGAGGAAGGGAGTTTATACAGTCACTGCCAGAAGACAGCATAGTTAGACAAGCTGACAAGCAGTAAATGTTCTTCAGCTGGCTGCATCCTCGGGGAGTTAGTGGAGATAGCTGATTTGGAGTTAATCAATCAATCAATTAATTAATTACAGAACAGTTTTTCAGTATATGTCCCAAATATTGCCTGGGACACACTGTTTTACCTGGCAGCCCCACCCTAAGAGGTACTTTGGCCTGTTCCACACCCAAGGGACGCAGCACACCAGCTTAGAAACAGGACAGTTCAAGGTTACTGCCATTTATATTCTTAATTACTATATTTATTTCATTGAATTCTACTCTATTTTCTTTAATGAAAACTATTCTTCAAACCATACTTTCTCTTACAAACCATATTTTCTCCCTAAATTGATATAACCTTAATTTAGGCTCAGTTTTCTCACTGAATTTTAAAGCTTTCTCCAACTCCTACCACCTTTGATTTCTAAGTACAGTGGAACCTCGGTTCTGGAACTTAATTCTTTCTTGAAACTGTTCCAGAAGCAATCTGTTGTTGCCTGAGAGACACGTGACTGATCATACTGGTATCAGCAAGAAAGGGTTGTCGGGTAGAGAGCCTTAAGACCCAGAGTTTTGTTAGACAATCAAGGCTTTTTTTCTGTGAACTACTCCAAACGAACCTCGTTCTCAAACAATTCGGTTCTCAACAAAGTAGTTCATGGAAAAAAAATGTCTTGGCTATCTAACAAAACTTTGGGTCTCGATTGTCCCTACCTAACAACCCTTTCATGCTGATAATACCTGTATGATCAGTCACACGTGTCTCGGGTGACAAAAGAGATTCGGTTTCCAAAAAATTGCTTCTCAAAACAGTTTTCTGGAAGGAATTAAGTTCGAGAACCGAGGTTCCACCATACTTCACTTTTCCCATCCCTTTCACTACCTTTTCCTCTTCTCAACTTCCATTTCTTGGCTCCTGAGAGAGCAGTTCCAAAACAAGATGATAGTTAAAGGAATTGCTTCTGGAAATTTGAGTCACTCTGTTAACCTCACTGAATGTCATTAAATGCTTTGACCTAGGCTGATCCTCTCCTCCCACAAGAATCCCTAGATGTCTTGAAATAGCATTTTTTATACATCTGGCATCCATAAAGCCACAAACATCTCAGAGAAAGAGTTACATATTACACTTTCTTAAATTCCCTCTTAGCACTAAAACCCCTCCATTTTTGATCTTCTTTATCAGCTTCTTTTATTTTTCCTAATGTTTAAATATTGGACAGGTTTAGTGTTTAATCCTGGGCATTTTCTGTTCTCTCCATTAGGTCTAATGCTTCTCAAAGTCCAATCATATGTATATCATCTTCATAATTTTTTTCATCTCTGTATAATTTTAATAATTTTCTTTAAATGGATTTTATTTTTTAATTCATATATTTTTAAAAGTAAATTTTATATTACAACTATAGATGAAAATTGAGTACAATAGATTTAAAATTAAAAAATTTTTAATCCAAAATATATAAAATTTAATTTTTAATGTAGATTTAAAATAATCAATAAAAACAAATCATTATAAATATATAAACTTATAAAAATGCACACCCCAAAATGAGTAACTCAATGAAAAATGAACTGTTCATGGTCAGTCAAAAATAGTGGAGCTTGGGCCCTGACTGATGTGTCTCAGTGGGTTGGGTGTCATCCCACAAATCAAAAGGTCACTGGTTTGATTCCCAGTTGGGGCACATGCCTGGGTTGTGGGTCAGGTCCCCAGTTGGGGGCATGCAAGAGGCAACCGATTGATGTTTCTATCCCTCTTTCTCCCTCCCTTCCCCTCTAACAGTAAATACAATCTTTTTAAAAAAAAATAGTGGGGCCCAGACTGGTGTGGCTCAGTTCGTTGGAGTGTTATCCTGTAACAAATGGCTCTTGGGTTCAATTCCTGGTCACGGCACATACCAGGTTGCGGGTTCGGTCCCTGGTCTGGGTACATAAAATCCCCAGCCCTGGCATGTATGGAAGGCAACCAACCAATGTTTCTCTCTACCACCAGTGTTTCTCTCATTTCCACTATCTCTCACAAAAAAAAAAAAAAAAAAGGCAGTGAAACAATTTAAAAAAAAAGGAATAGTGGATGCTTGGCTTCACACTCCTTGTCTCTTGCTTACAGTTAGGGAAACTGATACCCAGAAGAAAAGATAACTTGCCCAAGATCAAAGTAGAAGCAGAGCCCGAGACCACCAAGTCCCAGGTTTAGAGGGTAGCTTCAGAGAGGGAGAATTCAGAAAAGAACAGTGACTCTTCAGGGTATAAGGTGTTAAAGAACAAAATTCAACTGAGTAAATCTGAAGCTCTAACCAGTTTTATTAAGTGATTAATGAGTCAGGCAACATCCTACGTAGCAACTAGGACACTGAAAGGAGTTGTACACAATGGAAGGTTTTTATAGGCAGAGAGAGGGTGAGACAAAAAAGGTAAAAGAGATTATTTCAAAAAGGAAAAAAAAAAACCCAAAACAAAGGAAGAGTAGACTATTTCAGACAAAGTCACCTTCCCTTAGAGAAAGCAGAGTGGTCTTACCAGGCAGGTTACTTCACTGCTGTTGATCAGGAAATTCCAGGCTGATTGGTTTAAAATTCCACTCCTGGGAGAGGTTGAAACTGTAATTAGGTTAGGAATTAAGTCTTGGTGGAGCTTACCACAAGTGACTCCGTTTGAGTGTGTTGTTTCTTTTTAACAATTTCCTCCCATTGGTTAAATTCTTGGCCTGAGATATGATCAAAATTAACACATTAGAGCCACTCTCAGCCATGCTTTGTAGTTCTTGTAGCTTTTTCTGATCCTCTCTCTGTTATTCACAAGTCATGATGTTTTTGTTTAATCCCTGTGATACTCACAGGTCACACAGTTGCAGGTTCATATTCCTTAAGCAGGCTGTTTCTTCATTCCCTTTTTCACATTCCAGTCTTAGGGAGGTCATTTCTTGGCAGTTAGTGACAGCAAACATGGATTTAGTTTTTAAGAGGATAAAATGCACCAAGGAGATTATGGTGATGAATATAAGCAGAGTAATAATTTCCAATGTTTAGGTTCCACCTCAGAGTCATAGTCCCAAAGACCCGAAGCAATCAAAGAAAGACCCCATTGAAGGAGACCCATAAGCCAACTGGCTTGCTCAGTGTTCGTGTATCACTGAGTTTCAACTTCCCCAGAAGTGCTGATCCAGGTACAGCAGGTGGTTTTGGCCACAGCACAGACATCTCCTTGCCTAGCTAAATGATAATCAAGGGCTACCCCCTTATAAAGAACAACTGGGGCCAGAGGGTCTAAGGATCTTTGCTGGACAGCTAATTCCTCGGTAATGAAGTCTGTAATGTCTCCACAAGTTAAGGAGAGATTTCTGATCATATTCCATTTGTAGCTATTCCTAACCAGGAAAATATGACCCTGCCGAAGGAAGTCATTCCTGAATTATGAGTTCCTTCTGGTAGGTCATGTCCAGAATAGTTAGGAGCACAGCCAGATAATCCAAAAGGCACTACTCAGCTGTGTGCCAGTCATCTAGGCATGAATAAGCCCAAGGAGAAGGAAAACCACCACAGACGAGGATAAATCCTGTCGGACACAACTGTCCATTCAAGCCAGAGGTCAGTTAGGTTTTCTCACAGCCTGAAATAAAAAGTTGCTTTAAATTTCAGGTTATCCCCAGCAATGGCCTAGGAGATAACAGATGATGGCGTTATCTTTCCAGACCAATGCCAAAGAAACAACGAAGAAAGGGTTTCCTGTTTAGCTCAAGTAGAAAGTCTTTATCTGGTGTCTTGGGCAGAAGCTGTCTACATGGGGGTCAGCTATTTCTCCTCTTCCTCGTCAGTGTGATTTGAAGGTTTCCAGCATTTGTATAGGATCACATGACAAGTGGAGCCTTCTTTAGCTGTGAGATGTGTATCCAAGGCTCCATGCCTTCTAGTTTGGCAGTAGTGTCAGTGGTCAGGGGAATTTGGCACGGTCCCTTTCAATGGGGCTTAAGGGCTATCCTATGATGATGTTTCCAGAGTACCAGTCACCATGTTCTAGACTGTAACCAACCCACAGGATACCTTGAACTGGGATCAGCTTCTTTAAGCTGTTAATGATAGGCTTGAGCGTAACACATTAAAGACTTACAGTAGTTGCTCATACTAGAATAAGACAAGGGATCAGCAGGTTACACTCCAACAGACACTGTCTACCAGTAACTATGTCATGTGAGTAAAAACATACTTTCTAACAGTTCCTTTGCTACTGGGAGGGCAACAGCCTTGTGGTGGGGGAAGGCTTCAACCCATCCAGAAAACATATACAACAATAAGAACATATTGCTAACCCATGCTAAGTGGCAACTGAATGAAGTCCAGTTGCAGGTGCTCAAAGGGTTCAGAGGGAGCAGGTCTGAGGCCTCTTAGGACAAAATAGCCATTCTTAAATCCACTATGGTAGGCAATGGAACGCAAAAACCTAAAAAAATGGATTTTTCTAGTGAGCCAGAAAGAACCAAGCCACTATCTTGCATTTACTATAGCCCGACTATTTGTTTAATTTATAGCCATTGTTTACCCAACATTTCTCTGATTTAGGAGTAGACTGTTGCCATGTTACAAGGACATCAGGATGGCAAAAACCTGGCAATGGAGGGTCATTTTTGCAGAAGCAGAATAAACATTCGTGTGCCACAATCTTTATAGATTTTGTGGCTGTGGCCTTTGCACTAAAGTCAGTTAGGGCATTTACCTGACACATTCAGTGCTTTTAGTGAGCCTCAGTTTTTGACAACAGTAATTTCAGAAAAAAGAATAGCAGTAAGAAATTTTGCCCATTGTTAAAATCTAATTAGAATTTAAATGGAATTGACAAGGAAATTTGGTTATTTTGTGATATAATAGTCTAAAATAATAACTAAGTTTGCCCCAGCTGGTGTGGCTCAATGGATTGAGTGCCAGCCTGCAAAACAAAAGGTCACTGGTCTGATTCATAGCCAGGGCACATGCCTTGGTCGCAGGCTGGGTCCCCAGTTGGGGGCGTGTTAGAGGCAACCACACATTGATGTTTCTCTCCCTCTTTTTCTCCCTTCCCTTCTAGAAGTCTAAAAATAAACAAATAAAATCTTTAAAAAAAAACAAAAATCTAGATAGAGTACCAAGTTCCAGTTGTGACATATCTGCTCAGCCTTTTAAAAGACCATTCATTACTCATTAAAGTAGCCAGAGGAGTACATTCTTTTAAGCTGAGCTTTAAATTTTTAATTTTAGGACATTTGTTGCCTTTACCATATTTTTCAACACGTCAAGAACTGGGACTATGTCTACTTTTCTTACATATCAGGCACTCAACATTTGTTGAAAAAAATGAAATGAATAATTATAAATAAATGACTAATTCTAGAACAGCAAAGTCTAGGTTTTAAGTATTAGAGTACACGAACTCACAAATTTTCCTAAGGTTTTCCTTGAAACCATGCACCGGAAATAAAATTCTTTTACTTCACAAAACATATCTTAGGTTGTAAATATAAGGTCCTTTAGTAATTTAAATAAAGAGACTCTTTGGCAGGCAGAAGCAGGAGATTCTGTTAGTCCTTTGCAATTCCTCAAGCCACAGAAATCAGAAACGTCCAGTCTAAGCCTGACTTGGTGGAAAGCCTTTAAAAACCTGCACTTGCAGAGCTCCCCAATGGTCCCTGGAATGCTGTCTCCCTCCCAATACAATTCTGTTTTTCTTCTCCATCCTCTGCCCTCCATGGGGCGGACGAAGGAGCATCTTTGTCCTCGGATATTCTGAATGGGTTGGTATCTTGCTGGAAGTTCTTCTCTGATCAAACATCAAAATTCTAAACACATATTTTCCAATTTTATCACTCATTTCCTAACTTACAGGAAAGCCAAAATGTGTTCCAAAGTCTACAGACCAATTTAATAGATGTGGGATGAACATCATTGGCTGCTATCCATTCTCATCTTTGTATCTCCTAGAGAAACCCAGATTTTATTCTGTATCCCATCGTCCCTCATGCAACTCAAGTGCCCCAAAGCAAGATAACCCCGACCTCTGGCTCCAAAGTCTAAGGCATGGTTCCCAACAAGCGCTGGTGATACTGTCCTCCCAGGGACATTCGGCAGTACCCGGGGATGTTTTTGATTATAACAGCTAGTGGGGATGCATCTACTGGGCAGAGGTCAGGGACACCACTCAACATCCTGCCATGCACAGGACAGCCCCCACAACAAGGAAGTATCCAACCCCAAATGCCAATAGTTCTGAGGTAAAGAAACCCTGCTCTAAGGTGAACAACATCCCCCTTACCAGGGATTGATTTAAGACTTTGACCCTATTAAGGATACTACATAAAATAAAGCTGGGTTGGGGGTCCTGCTGGGATTCTCTTGGTGGGGGCATTGTGCCTCTTCATTAGCCTTATTTATAACTAGGGCTTTTCATCCGCCATCAGCAGGATGTTAAGGAGAGCCTGTACATCTGCCCAGTTTGGATGATGAATGGCAAAAATGGACATGACAAAATCTGCCAATTTCTGAGGCTCCTCCCTGTATGAGGAGTTGGAATTTTTCTAATTCAGTAAGTCTGAAGTGAAATATGGGCCCAGTAGTAACCAGTGGGCTGGCCTTTCTGATTTATTCAACCTATAGAATATTGCCTCAAAGGGAACTGTCTTGCTCTGAATTGGGATGTTCCCTGGTCAAACTGGGTGCCCTGATGGGTCTTTAAAGGGGAGACCCTTCCCTCATCATACAGAAGTGGGACCACTGGCTCTCTGGGCCCTATTTCAGGAGTATGTAGCAGTGGGTGTGGTGACTGGGGACTTCCTGCTACTAATCTTGTGTCTTCTGAGTTCAAGGCATTAACAAGATTTATTTCTTCACTTTCCTCTTCTTCCTGTGCCTTACTGTCAGTAAGGGGTTTTGAGGCAACTTCCCTTCTCTGCATCTTCAAGCAGGTCTCCGCCCCTGGTGAAACTCTGTTAAGTAATGATGTAAATGCCTTCATGTAACAGATTTTGTCCCATTTCTCTAACCATTGGCAATATAGTTCTAATGCATGATGGTACAGTAATTTAGAGAACAATTTAGTGGCCATTATCCCCCACAGTCTAAAATATACATAGGCCACAGAGTATTACAATAAAGAACCCATTCCTCCTTAGACATTGATGGCTGTACATAACCCAGTCTACTAACATTCTACCCAGTGAGGTATTCCAGGAGCCAACACATTGGCTCAGACGTGCAAGCCTAAAGCTATGACCAGAAAGATGCAGGTAAACTGGGAACATATAAGCAAAACCACAACTCTATTATTCCAAACAAGTGCTCATAAACAAGCCTTCTACCAACTGATCTTACAATGGCTCCCAAAATTCAGCCAGTCCTCACCCAGACCCTGGTTCGTGGCCCCAAAACTCGGGTGATCCTCACCCCCTCTTAGAGTCTGTCTCATTTCCAGACCTGTTTCCTTCCACCTGCTAGACGTTTTTAGGCAGCCTCGAGGGAACATGCAGAGAAATCCCTAGAGACTAGGAAACCCCACAGTCCCATCTGTGTTGCCATTACTGTTACCAAACAGCAAGTAGGGTCCTGCTGCCTGCTGTTACCCTCTAGGCAAAATCCTGGAGGCAGAGGTTTGGTGAAAAAGGAAAGGAGTCTTTATTCAAAAGCTACATAATTTTGGAATAATAGCTTTCCAGATGCATTAGTCACTTCAGCCTCTCAACTGAGGCTACAATCTTTTTTTAAAGATTTTATTTATTTATTTATTTATTTATTTTTAAAGAGAGGGAAAGGGAGAGCGAACGAGCGGGAGAGAAAGAGCAAAGTGTGATACATAGATTGGTTTCCTCTCACGGGCCCCCACCTGGGGACTTGGCCTGCAACCCAGACATATGCCCTGACTGGGAATTGAACTGGCTACTTCCAGTTCACAGGCCAGCATTTAATCCACAGAGCCATACTAGCCAGTGTGAGGCTAAAACCTTTAACTCTTGAGTCCTCTTATCATCCCCCCTCCTTTAGTTTTTAAACACCCTACTCAGGGAGACAAAGCAAATAAATCCAATTAGTGCCATTTGCCAACCACACCCAAGGACAGATGAAGTTAAGGGAATAAATCTCATTTTGGCACATCAGTGTAAAACTAGTGAATATTTTGTTGAGATCCTCTCCAAAGACCTCCCCTAAACTCCAGCCTTTACAAATTCTCAAACCTGAAAGTCCCAGCCTGTGCTCCCTCCCAGGAGTACACCTTTGCCTGTCCCTTCCCCCTCCCCACTTCCTCCCCCACAGGCATGCATCTCCTAAACTCTAAGGAACCCCCCAACGCTTGCAAACAGGGAGCAATAGGCAGTAGCAGCTCGTCCCAGGTTAACCCCCTGACCCTGTCCCAAAGGCCCCCTTTTCTCTGACTTCTTAGTGAGCCAAGGCAGCCCTGTTTAGGCTCTCCTGTTGCTTCCAATATCATAAGCCCTTCCTTGTTCCACTGTCCTTAGCTTTAATAAATATCCTCTAAAAATCACGTGGACTCTTGTTGTGAAATCTTTCCTACACAAAGAGAAACCACAAACTACTGGCTTGCTCAGGGCCAGGTCCCTTTCCAGTAACAATAATCCTGGCTCAGATTTTAACACAAGTTTTCTGGCTATAGTGTTGAGAATAGATGAGGAGGACAAAGATGAAAACTGATGATTGAGCAATGCAGTGAAGCCATGGTGGTGACTAACATCAGGCTGGGAGCAGTGGAAGTGGTGAGGAGTCATTGGACTCTACCCATAGTTGAAGAGGGAGTTAACATAATTTACTATTGGATAAAAACTACTAAGGGAAAAAAAATTGATTGACAAAGCTATGAACACAACTCTTGCACTTCTGACTTCATGGCCCTATAGGAAAAACAGCACTGGCACAGGATTTGTTAAAGGTTAGCTTCTCATCAGGTACCATGATGTGAAGCCTTTACTTCAAGAGAGAAGATTCAACGTATGAAGCAGTGTTAATGTCCTCTGTACCAAAAAGCCCCGAAATTTTCGCTCCCGGTTGTTGGAAATATGTCTAGATAGAGAAACAATCACCACAAAGATTCTGAGAAATCTAGTAGTCCCTCTATTACAGTAGAATAAGTGACCAGAGGGGAAATAAAGGCAGAGCCCTCACCATTACAATCTAACAAAAGAACTTAATACAGGAGGCTAAAAGCAAAAGCTCATACACTGGCCCAATAATCCTGAGCTGACAAGGCTGCCAGGCATCCCAAGCAAGTGAAACTATGATAGTGTGGGAAGAGGGGGAGCCCTTGAAAGCTGGGAAAAGGAAAACTTTGAGACTGTGTATTCATCCCAAGGCCTGGAAGGGAGAAAGGGCAGGGGTCCACAGTGCCCAAAGGGAATAACCCATAAAATAACTTTGGTTAACTGCCTGCCTCCCATCACATGTGCAAAATGAACAGAGTCTGGAGCGAGACAAGGATTCGGGCTAACAGATCCCTCTCCATACCTACATTTAGGTAGTCATGTCTCCTCTGGAAAGCTGGCACCATCGTTACCTGCCAATTAAAATGTAACTTCTTCACCCCCACCCCACCAACTATGTAAGTCCTCAGAACAAAGGACTTTTGTCTCTTGGTCATGTGGCTCTCTTGCCACACAGGAGATCCCTGGCCAGCTGGCCTCTGGCCAGGACCCCTGGCCACCTCTTTTGGCCACCTGGCCACTGACCATCTGGGTGCTGGCCACCCAGCCTTTTGCCAAGCTACTTGTGCCATCTCTGCTCTAGCCACCCTTGCTTTGCTTTCCTATTGGAACTTAGCATTATTAAACTTTGCTTGCATGCTAGTAGTTTTGCTGGCCTGTAAGTCTTCACTGCATCAGTAAGAACTGTTTCTGGGAGTTTCTCCGGTAACACCTCCAGTAACACAACAAAAAAAGATCAAACCAAACCTTTCAATTGGATTTTAAGGGTCCCACGACCAATTTAAATTACCATTCCAGTAGATAATATAGACAGAAAGAGGTATATTATCAATATCCTTTGATTAATAATGTATCTTGCTTTAGAGAGCCTCATTTAGCCTCAAGATGAATCTTGTTAAAGAACAAAATTCAGCTAAGTAAATCTGAATATCTAATTGGTTTTATTAATTGATTCATTCATCAGGCAGCATCCCATCTAGCAATTGGAAGGACACTGCAAGGAGTTATACAAAAGGGGAGTTTTAGGCAGAAAGAGGGTGGGGCAAGAAAGGCAAAAGAGTGAATTATTTCAGACAAGGTCACCTTCCCTTAGGAAAAGGCAGGGGATCTTACTAGGCAGATCACCTCACAAGAGTTGATCAGGAAATCCCAAATTGAGCAGGTTAAAATTCCCCTCCCAGCAGAGGCTGAAACTGTAATTAGATGAGGCTTTATCTCACTAACAGATTAAGCATATCAAGTATTAAGTGTTAGTGAGGAATATTTTAAATCCTTAAAAAAGATGTATGTTCTACTGCTCCTCTAGAACTTTCCCTAAACCAGTTCTTTGCACAAGAATCACTCCACTGGCCCTGGCTGGTATGGCTCAGTGGGTTGGACTTCGTTCTGCAAACAGATAGCTGCTTGATTCCTGATCAAGGCACATGCCTTGCTTGTGGGCCAGGTCGCCTGTGTGAGAGGCGGTCAGTGTTCTCTCCTTCTTCTTCCCTCCCTCCCCCTCTCTCTAAAAAATAAAATCTTAAAAAAATAAAAAATGCACTGGGTGTGGCAAGGCTACTGTCCCATAATGCAATCATGTATCACCACACTCCTTTTGGACTCTATTCAAGACCACTGTCTGCCTGTCAAACAGATTATTATTGGCTTGATTCCTGCCTATTTTTAGAACCAAAGCATCTATATATGGCATTATACAAAAGTTGTACCAATATGTTTTAACACATCTTTAGCACAGACATTGTTATTGTAGAACAGACTTTGCCTCATTAGGGTTTGGAGTTCAGCGGTGTCATCGCTTCTCGGCCTTTTGGCTAAGATCAAGTGTGGATTTCAGCGGTGTCATTTACTTCACCATAAATGCCATTTCCCCACCTTTAAATGGTGGTATTTTCCTAGAGGAGCTGTTTTGAGGAAAATAATTTAATATTTGTAAAGCCTCCAGGCCAGTGCCTGGCAATGGCCAGGACGTACATGTTCATAGTTATTCTAAGACCTAGGCCTCACAGAACCTCATGAATTTAAATTTAAATGTTTTAAAACAGAAATAAAAACTGTCACATTTTCTCAAGGCTCCAGGGTGTTTCCTAATTCCAGCTTTGCAATCTCCGTTCAAAAATTAGCGTCGAAGTCTCCTAATTATCGTTTTAAGAGTACACATATTCTTCAAAACACCATTTTGTTTTTAAGTAAAACTAAAACGTACACAATCAAAGAAAAAAGCAAAGCATTTCCCTTGACTATACTGAGAGCTGGATGAACAGCAGATGCTTAAACGCTGACATTTCCACAGGACAGGTAACTAAGACTTCTCTAAGACGTTAAATCACTCGGAATTACGAGAAAAATACCAAGAGCGCCATGAGGCCTCAGAGCCAGGCTGCAACTTGCCCTGGAAGCAACCAGGGGTATCGAGGGGCAAGCCGAGCTTCCGAGACTACCCAGGCAGGAGGCTGCGCCCGTACCGGGCTCTGCGTCTCTCTCGGAGTACCAGATGTTTTCTCCCAACGCTTCCCCGCTGGTTTCACAGCGCCTAGGAAAGAGAGGAGACCTGCGAGCGGTCAGCTAAGAGCGAGGAACGACAGAGCACGAACTGAACAAGCTAGACTTGGACGCCCGACCTCCTGACAATTAATGCTCACACCCGCGGAGGCGGAAGGGGGTGGGGCTTGTGGAGGAGGGGCGGGGCGGCGGGCGGCCCTTCGGGAGGGGCGCGCGCTTCCGGCGTGAGCGGCGGAGCTCTCCAGCGGCGGCACCGGCGGCTCCCAATCGCGCACAATGAGACAGCGCTGAGCGCCGGAAGTGGGGCCGAAGGAAAACACAGAGTGGGAGCCCAGCCGGGACAGAAAGAGGCGGAGGACCGCTGCGGAGGTGGTGAGTGTTTCAAGTGTCTTCTCCCAGCGTCCCTGCCAGACTCGCCTCCGGGGTGGGTCTCCGGTAGGTTCCCTGGTCTTCGGACTAGAGGGTGGGCCCGCCCAGTAGTTACGTAGGCTCCATCCACTGCCGGACTCCTTTCCTCAGTTGCGAGGACCCGGAAGCCCACAGGCCAGCGGGGACTGACCTCTCGGGTTCGAGGCCACATTTTCACTCTGTGTCAGACCCTGTGTGGGCAGGAGAAGGGATTTAGGTGAAGGCACTCGGCCTCGGCCCCCTACCCAGCCGGGGGGGGCGGTGGATCTCGGAACCCATCAAGGAGGTAGGTCATTTCCTGCTTCCTGGTATCAGGGGTGGCTTCGTGGCCAGGGGGTACGGGAATGCTTCTTCCTCTTTCTCCCCCTCCTGTCCCAAAGGGTGGAAACAGGCCGATCGGCGGTGGGGCGACCAGTTGAGGATGGACTAGGGAAAATTGCAGTTCGTGGCAAAACCAAACTTGTTTGGGGTTGGAGAAGGGGCACTGGGGAGGATAGTTGGAGTTGTTGCTTGGTCGGAAACCCAGCCCCTTTGACTAAAGCGTAATCTTGGTCGGCGGCCTAGATCCTCCGTAGCCCAAGCGATAGAAGTCAGTCGTTTTGAGCAGTGGTGGTGAGGGAAGCCGAGGCCCCAGGGTGCGAAGGAGGGACAGAAACGTGCAGTTTTGAGATGTACTACGTTCAGAGAAAGATTCAGTTGCTTTGTACAACACTTAAAAGTAATTTCGAACTGTTTTTTTTTTTTTAAGACTGATGATTTTCATAACAGTATAGGTTTGGGATGAATTTTTTTTTTTAAGAGGATCGCTTTTGTTAATATAAGTAAAAGCCTACCAACTTGGTATGAGTAACTTTTTTTTATACTACAGTTCTCAAGACTGTAGCGAGCTTCTTTTAGTCACAGATTTAATCTTCGTGTTAAATAGTAAGTACTAATTTTCATGAAGAATGTCATAAGACTAAGCCTTCCAATCCGTGTAATGCACTGATTATTCGAATGTGATGGAAATTACTGGAGAAAAGAGTTTCTTACAGGTTTTTGAGCATCTGTACAATATATGAGTGGTATTTTGTATGCTTGGTATGATATCTTGGTATAGTTTAATTTTTTTCTGCCCCAAAATGCTTTCTTTCAGGTGCAAAGTAAGAAAACTGAAGTAAAAAACCATGGGAGATGCAGCAAAACCTTATTTTGTGAAGCGTGCTAAAGACCGAGGGATTATAGATGATGAGGATTTCAGAAGAGGTCACCCTCAACAAGATTATTTAATAATGGATGATTATGCTAAAGGCCATAGCAGTAAAATGGAAAAAGGCCTTCCCAAGAAAAAAATAACACCAGGGAACTATGGGAATACCCCTAGAAAAGGACCATATGCTGTTTCTAGCAATCCATATGCATTTAAAAACCCAATTTACAGTCAACCCACTTGGATAAATGACAACCACAAAGATCAGAGTAAAAGATGGCTATCTGATGAACTTGCTGGTAATTCAGAGAGTTGGAGAGAATTCAAACCAGGACCTAGAATTCCTATTATAAACCGACCAAGAAAGGACTCCTTTCAAGAAACTGAAGATGGATACAGGTGGCAAGATGGAAGAGGCTGTAGAACTGTAAGGCGACTATTTCATAAAGACCTGGCAAGCCTAGAAACCATGTCAGAGGTGGAGTCAGGAAGCCACGGTAATGTGTTAGAACCACAACTATTCAAGTTATAACCCAAAGTTAGCAGTGTCTTTTTCATCCAAATGAGTTATTATTTTCAGCAGTTGCAGTTCAGATTTTTCGTAGTTTCTGCTTATTTAATGTGATTATTTTAAGGATTAAAATATTTGAGCAGTTTCAACATTTGTATATATTGGTCCCTTTTGGCAATTTCAACAGTTGTGTATATTGGTCCCTTTAAGAGTTTTATTTGTCACAAGGCTCATTTTACTACTAATGGACCATATTTCCTGTTGGTGCTATTTACAGAAGAGAGTGATCATCTGGTCCTGTAGACTATATCATAATTTCTGAGTATTGTGTATATAATTTCTAAATTACATATTACAGTTTTGTATTTGAAAATGAATGGATCCATAATGTAAATGACAGAACAAGAAGCTTTAAATCATCTCATTCAATGCAGAAGCAGTGTGGACTGCGTGTATCTCCTGCCACAGAGGGAGAAGAGGGTAGTCCAAGAGATTTTTTTTCTTCTCCAAAGTGAGCATGGCAGACAGTTTGAGAGACATTAAGTTTAGAAAGTCAGAAATACAGATTAAAGCTTTGCCTTTTAGTTTCAGTAAAACAAAACCCTTTTCTGAGTGCCCTACATGCTTGATAACAATTGCCTCAAAGTGATTATACATTTTTCTAAAAGGGGAATAGATTTTGTCTATGTAGCAGTGATATCTATAAATAGGAAAATTGTTATTATCTAATGGACAATAATTACTGA